GGGGGGGGGGGGGGGGGGGGCATGGGGCAGCTAACCCCTAGTCAAAACTTTAAAGGAAGACATATGCAATGTAGTATTTGAAAATACAAGAATTATGTAAAACTAACGAGGAATTTTAACACATTAGGAAAATTTTTTCGTACAACCCCCTCCCTTCCCACGTCGACATCAATTTTGGAAAGTTTACATGGAAATTTTTTTCTGGTAAGTCGGGCACAATGGGGAAAAGTCGGGTCATTTCCTTTCCCCCCCCCCTATTTTTTCCCCTCCCGTACGACCATGTGAAGTATATTGTGATACACTCGGAAAGTGTCTATTGCCATTTTCTATCCTCTCAACGACTGAAAAAACTATGACGGTGTTTAACCTAAAAATACAACGATGACTCCTATCGTGCCAATATATATAGGAATAGGAAGTACACTCCCCCCTGGAAATTTAGCGAGCTATTCAACTGATGTTGCCTTAGTATAAAGAACGTCAAACTAACGGCTAAGATAAATAGCCAATAGGGGGTGGGTTAGATTTAACATACATTTACATGGCAAAAAACGACATTGAATCAAATTAAACCTAAAAAAACCTGCAACATTCTCACGTGATTTTACAATGTAGGTGCTAAAATAAAATAAAAAATAAAACATCGTCAAACAATGAGATCTCATTCTTAAAATCACAGACTGTGGGGAAGAAAACTGGTACACAATGTTTAAATTCTGTTCAACTAGCTTTCACAGCAGGTACATGATTGCACTAAATAATTGATTAAAGATATATATGGTTCTTTACGATGCTGAGACTTTCAACGTCCATGTTGAAGAAAACGCAGATATGACGGAGAAGCACAACACTGAGTTTAGGCAGCCTTTTGTCAGCATAGAGCTTACACACATCATATGTATCGTACATAATGGGATGTGTAAGCTGGCATTCTTGTATGATCTTGTCACGAGCTGTACAGTAAGCTGTAGCATCTTCTGCAGCCACAGCGTTGTCATTCAGCTCTTTGGTTGATTTCCTGTTTTTAGCAGCCTTACGTGAAAAGTACGACTTGATCTGCTGAGGGGTAAGGAATTCGTTGATGGTACACGCCTGGCATTTTTGCATGCGATATTAGACATTTGAAATGTGACAAATTTTTTCCATACCGCGCGACAATTTTAGGAGCTTGGTAGCCAATTTGATCATTGAAAAATTGCTCAAATTGTGCAAGATAATTCTTGTGCGCGTTATCCATGCAGGTTATTTGACAGTAATAGGGAGAAAAAGGGTCTCTCGGGGATCAAAATGATATCAATATTGCCATGGTTACTGGCAATGTTTTCCCGCTTGGCGACTTCTTGTTCGAGGCACTTGAGCGAAATGGCGGTTTTTGTGTGAAGTTGCGAAAGTGTATCAACTTCGGCTTGTATAGGCTTCTTTGTTCGTGCTTATTTTTATTTTATTTTTGGTTCATACACAAGGCAAAAGCCGTATTTACATTTGTATGTTTTTTGTTTTTGGCGAAATGAGCTATAAAATATAAAATTATGCCTCGTAAAAGCACGACTTTCTACAAGCGATTTAATGTTGGGCTGTACATGCGACAAAGAAGGCTACAATCCTGGACAAAACCATCTGTGAGAACTCTATTAAAACATTGCTTTGTGGCTTTTTTTACCATTTAGACCGGAATAATTTACTCGTTTGCCCCCCTCCACCCCCCAAAACAATGTTGGACGTTTTATCCGGATTCTACGAATGCAATCAACATTGAATGGTGGGGGGAAAGGGGGAGGTTTTCTAAATTTACGATAATATTACGACATTTTGTCAAGTAATTGGAAGTGTCGCAGATGTTTTGTCCAGGATTGTCTGTATCTTTCAAATTCAATAACCAAGGCATTGCGCATTAAAAATTGAGTTCTATGCAGGACTTTCTCTTTCCGTAGTAAATATGACTCACTAGAATGTATTAGGCTTCAAGAAGCAAATACCATATGGTCGACTAGGTAATATAACACCCTCATGCAATGCTATGCTTTGATAGCTTGTATAGAATGCGATTAAGAATCGTATGCGACGACTTTCCCGCATTTAATATACGTCGGAGAGCAAGTCAATGTACCTAATAGTGTATATACCAACTATTTTACAGTAAGAATATTCTAAAATACGTTAATCCATATTTATTTGTGTTGTTAGAGACAGACAAACGCTTAGCTGTTGACTGGAAATATATTGCGTGACCGCTGCGCTAAATGACTAATTCGATTTTGTTATTGTCGTATAATTAATAGCGCATGCGCATTGACGGTGTACCACGGTACAGCGTGAACATATAAGAATATATATATATATAACCTTTTGTAGGGATAAATGGTACACCGTGGAATATTTTAAAATTATCGCGCTAAATATTGCCTGAAGTAGGTTGGAATACTAAGCAACACACGTTCTTTCAAGTCCATTTCATTGGTTTGTATTACACCTATAACCTGGGGATATTATCACAGTCTTAGTGCATTGGTGGTGGTACACCGTTATGTATGACACTGGGAAAAATTACACATTGATTTACCACACCTGGAAAAAATGTATCAAAATGCATAATACACATTTATATAGTTGTCACTTAATATTTTAAATAGATGCTGTAAATACCAGAAACGTAACTATATGTTGAATTTATTGTCCCTTAGTTCTACCGGATATCACAGACATTTATGTACACACTGAATGTATAACCTATCAACATCTAAGTTGCACAAACCCTTATGGAAATATATTTTTTGGGTCGTACATTGTATTTCATGCATTGATCGCTTGCCATGTCTGTCTAGGCACCTTCTCACATATCAGTCGATTAGGCCGGTCTATTGTGTCTTGCAGGTCTTATATAAATATACAGATAACAAATATGACTCATATATATTTCTTAATTTCTGAATTATTGCAATGATATCTACTAGAACGCGATAGTTTTACTTTCTCAATTATTTCCGAAACATTTCGTTGCCTTTAATTGCTAAAAAATAATATATCGTATGCGATTTTCTCGGCAAAAGTTTCTACCACACATTATTACCCTTTGAAAACACTAAGATATTCATGACGTATTTAATTAATGAATAAGGTACTTGATGTAATTATGAACATATGTAGGCCATACGGAATGCACATAAACGAAATACATGGCAAGGATATGTATAAAAAGCGAAATATAAAAAAAAATAATCTCGACTCATTTCAGACAATCCTGGACAAAACCATCTGCGACACTCTATTAAAACATTGCTTTGTGGCTTTTTTTACCAGTTAGACCGGAATAATTTACTCGTTTGCCCCCCTCCACCCCCCAAAACAATGTTGGACGTTTTATCCGTATTCTACAAATGCAATCAACATTGAATGGTGGGGGGAAAGGGGGAGGTTTTCTAAATTTACGATAATATTACGACATTTTGTCAAGTAATTGGAAGTGTCTCGCAGATGTTTTGTCCAGGATTGTAGGCTGGTTGGCGGTTGAAGAGAAGAGCAAGAAAGCTAGAAATGCAGCTCAGAAGCTTAAGCGATTGGATCCGAGGGTAAGAGACGTTTCATATATATTTGTATTTCTTGTATTAATCGATTTTCTGATCTATCATCTTGTGTTTGTACTGATTGAATTGATTCAATATATGTTATCATATTTTGAACTGACATACTATAAATCAGATCTATTCTTGCTATGAGGACGATATGTTCGCGCACAATTTATAATGTGTTTATATCACTTATAATATACCTATTTATAAACTATAAACCCTATACTATAAAGCCCAATGCACAGTGAGCTTCATGCTCAATAAATACTCAAATCATCTGGTACTCAAAATTAATGAACACCCCAGAAAGCAGATGAAAATACTACATGTCTTATGAAAGTGCATCCTGGCTGCTAGTCATCCACACTCTTTGAATATTATGTGTTCTTTGATGTGAATGAACCTGCAGCTCTAAAATTCAGGTGCAGTGTACTCTAACCAACTGTCAGCTACAGAGTTCAGTTGTAGGAGCTCTAACCACAGGTCCATGTATACATGTATATACCAGGTACTGCTATGTTAAGGTACAGGTGAATATTAACAGTTACAGTATGTATATATTTTGTTTCGTTGATATCTGACTAGATTGAATAATAGTTGTCAAAGGGTCTTGTACTGTGGATGGAAATTGTAGAGTGTAAAATTGAACATGCAGCTTTACGATTCCTGATATTTACCCACACCTTAACATGGCGGTACAGGTACTCTAGTATACATACATGAACTTGTGGTTAGAGCTTGACAGCTGGACTATTTTGCTCGACAAATGGACATTTTGTTTTTGAATTTTAAATTGACCCGTGGGAAATATAATTAATTGTTAAATCTCTGCCTATAGAATCCTGAAGGTGGTGGGCAGGCTAGTTTTCAGTTGACATGAGCCGTGTTGTTAAGATGCTAACAATCTTTATAATATATGCAGGTAAAGAAATTAGTGAATGAAGCAGAGGAATTAGGTAGTATCAGGGAAGAGTTGGTAGAAGACACTAGTAGGCAAGAAGCAGAAGCAGAAGTAGGATTTAAGATTAGCAAGACAGCAGTAGACAGACGGAGGAGTAAACCAACAGGGGAAGGAAGTTGTGTGGAGTCCACAGGTAGAAAGCGTAGAAAGGAGACAATAGTAGCAGTTTGTGGGATACATGGAGGAAATGAAGAAAATCTAAAGCCAGGGACAATTGGAATGTTGGAAACATTAGTACTTGTACTTTATTTGAATCAGGCCAGATACTGCAGACAAATCACTGTGTTAAGCTGTTTTATATGCATATTTCCCATTAACTTTGGTCAACCGGCTCAACAGTATAAACGTGGCTTTTGTAAGAGGGTCTAGATGGGGTGGTGCCCAAAACAGTAAACATTTGATTTTTTAGTAATTTAACAGTAACAGTAAAAAATTTCACATAATAGTAAAATTTTGCTAATTTCACGAAGACGTAAAAAAGCACTTAATTATATGTAGGAAGCAAATGCACAGTCTCTAAGACCATCAAAGACATATTTTGCATATTTTGTAATTGGCACACCACAATCATGGAAATAATATCCGTAGACTTTTTTAAAACGCATCTTGTCTTACTATTTTGTAAAGCCATTTTATTTTTAGTTAATACAAACGTCCATGATCGCTAGAAATAGTAACTCCCCCCCCTCCCCTACCACAATGTTGGTTCAAACCATGGTTATTGGACCTCAAACCAACATTGTAAACGGGGAGGGCGGAAATTGAGAAATTTTTGAAAAGTCTACGAATTAATTTCCATGATTGTCTATAAAAGTATGGCACTTAGTCATTTTCGACCCAGAACAAAGGTTACTATATTATAATACCTGATTCTCTTTTTGACTGAAATTACTTTATTTACCTTGTGCAAGGTTGCTGTGTATTTTGTTGCCAGGGGGAGCATCAGGGGTGTGTGGGCAAACTGTTTAGCGACGGGATACCTCAAAGTATTTAATTTTGACCATTTCAATGTTAAGTAAGTTATGACATAAAGTTTGCCTTCGAGTTCCTTGAAATATATTTGAAGTTTACATATACATCTAACCGTATCAATTTATTTATAATATCGTTGCTGCTACAGCTAAATTATATCCAAAATTTCATTGCATTTAGGCGGTTGAAGTTTGTGTGGTAATAATAATCTGCATAACAAGACATGCAATTTTTCTATGAATATATCTTATTATGGAAAGTGTAATACTGCCCATTTGTTGATGTCAACTGTAACAGCAGTGACGTACAGAGACCATATACAGCGACCCAAAGGGGGATCGAGGGAGGTGGGGGTGTTCCTCTACAGCCTCTTCGCCTTACCAACCAACTCTATTTTACCAACTAATTTGCCAACAGGTCACGGTTTTTCCTACATAATCTCCATTTTGCCGACAAGATTTCTAAGAAGTGGGGGGGGGGGTAGGGGGTGTCACACTCCAACATACCCTGTTCAGTAACCCTTGTGTAACAGAGTAGTGCTTATTTCGTTGTAACAGTAAATCGTTATAATTATCATAGAAGGAAGAGTGTGAGATATGATATAAACAAATTTTAAATAGGGACTGCACATGTTACCACATGTTACTGTACATGTTACTGCACATGTTACTATGTATTTATTATATTTTACTATACAATTTGAACAAGTTACTGATGTTTTTTTTATAATTATTAAAGTATGCATACTTTATATAATGCACAACAGTAACATATAGCAACATGTTGAAAATTTCAACATGTTACTACATGTTACTGCTGTTTTTTATATAAAGTACATGCTTCCATTTTTATAGAAAACAGCAGTAACATGTAGTAACTTGTTGAAATTATGTAATAAAATATAATAAATTGATTGTAACATGTGCAGTAGCATGTACAGTAACACATGGTAACATACGAATAATTTATTTAAAGAATTATATGGTAAAAATATAGTACACTTATAGTAACATGAACAGTAACATGTAGTAACATGCAGTAACTTGTCCTATATGTAATATATAGACTATAGAGGTTAGTGAAATAGTCACTGCAATCAGTTAGGTCGATTACCTCCAACATTTCGGTTGACGGAAAAAAATTTGAATCTCCCTCATAATATATACGACAATGCGTTAGTTATTAACTTTTAATTATTAACTTTCAAATATTATATACATCAGTCATTATGCAGAATTACGTTTTGTAAATACAGGCTAATTGTATGGAGCAGTGGATCATTTATTAAATCTTTCGTTAAAACCTTGGGTATATGCTTGAAAGAGTCTTTATTACCTAACAACTATTATATTATTTGAAGAGATTTCCCGTTGAAGTAAAAGCGGACTGTGTATGATGTAAGTTTCTTGATTATATCTCTGTAATACCATGAACTCTTATCAAGTAAACTCATAAATATTCAATATAACATGTAGAATCTGCCATGCTTTAGAGCTTTAATGAAGATTTATACACCGCGTCTCCAAATATCCCCCCGCAATTTTTGTCCTTAAATTTAGACAATCATGGAAATAATATCCGTAGGCTTTTTTAAAACGCATCTTGTCTTACTATTTTGTAAAGCCATTTTATTTTTAGTTAATACAAACGTCCATGATCGCTAGAAATAGTAACTCCCCCCCCTCCCCTACCACAATGTTGGTTCAAACCATGGTTATTGGACCTCAAACCAACATTGTAAACGGGGAGGGTGGAAATTGAGAAATTTTTGAAAAGTCTACGAATTAATTTCCATGATTGTCTATAAAAGTATGGCACTTAGTCATTTTCGACCCAGAACAAAGGTTACTATATTATAATACCTGATTCTCTTTTTGACTGAAATTACTTTATTTACCTTGTGCAAGGTTGCTGTGTATTTTGTTGCCAGGGGGAGCATCAGGGGTGTGTGGGCAAACTGTTTAGCGACGGGATACCTCAAAGTATTTAATTTTGACCATTTCAATGTTAAGTAAGTTATGACATAAAGTTTGCCTTCGAGTTCCTTGAAATATATTTGAAGTTTACATATACATCTAACCGTATCAATTTATTTATAATATCGTTGCTGCTACAGCTAAATTATATCCAAAATTTCATTGCATTTAGGCGGTTGAAGTTTGTGTGGTAATAATAATCTGCATAACAAGACATGCAATTTTTCTATGAATATATCTTATTATGGAAAGTGTAATACTGCCCATTTGTTGATGTCAACTGTAACAGCAGTGACGTACAGAGACCATATACAGCGACCCAAAGGGGGATCGAGGGAGGTGGGGGTGTTCCTCTACAGCCTCTTCGCCTTACCAACCAACTCTATTTTACCAACTTATTTGCCAACAGGTCACAGTTTTTCCTACATAATCTCCATTTTACCGACAAGCTTTCTAAGAAGTGGGGGGGGGGGGGTCACACCCCAACATACACCGCTCGGCAACCCTTGTGTAACAGAGTAGTGCTTATTTCGTTGTAACAGCAAATTGTTATAATTATCATAGGAGGAAGAGTGTGAGATATGATATAAACAAATTTTAAATAGGGACTGCACATGTTACCACATGTTACTGTACATGTTACTGCACATGTTACTATGTATTTATTATATTTTACTATATAATTTGAACAAGTTACTGATGTTTTTTTTATAATTATTAAAGTATGTATACTTTATATAATGTACAGCAGTAACATATAGCAACATGTTGAAAATTTCAACATGTTACTACATGTTACTGCTGTTTTTTATATAAAGTACATGCTTCCATTTTTATAGAAAACAGCAGTAACATGTAGTAACTTGTTGAAATTATGTAGTAAAATATAATAAATTGATTGTAACATGTGCAGTAGCATGTACAGTAACACGTGGTAACATACGAATAATTTATTTAAAGAATTATATGGTAAAAATGTAGTACACTTATAGTAACATGAACAGTAACATGTAGTAACATGCAGTAACTTGTCCTATATGTAATATATAGACTATAGAGGTTAGTGAAATAGTCACTGCAATCAGTTAGGTCGATTACCTCCAACATTTCGGTTGACGGAAAAAAATTTGAATCTCCCTCATAATATATACGACAATGCGTTAGTTATTAACTTTTAATTATTAACTTTCAAATATTATATACATCAGTCATTACGCAGAATTACGTTTTGTAAATACAGGCTAATTGTATGGAGCAGTGGATCATTTATTAAATCTTTCGTTAAAACCTTGGGTATATGCTTGAAAGAGTCTTTATTACCTAACAAACTATTATATTATTTGAAGAGATTTCCCGTTGAAGTAAAAGCGGACTGTGTATGATGTAAGTTTCTTGATTATATCTCTGTAATACCATGAACTCTTATCAAGTAAACTCATAAATATTCAATATAACATGTAGAATCTGCCATGCTTTAGAGCTTTAATGAAGATTTATACACCGCGTCTCCAAATATCCCCGCGCAATTTTTGTCTTTAAATTTAGACAATCATGGAAATAATATCCGTAGACTTTTTTAAAACGCATCTTGTCTTACTATTTTGTAAAGCCATTTTATTTTTAGTTAATACAAACGTCCATGATCGCTAGAAATAGTAACTCCCCCCTCCCCTACCACAATGTTGGTTCAAATCATGGTTATTGGACCTCAAACCAACATTGTAAACGGGGAGGGCGGAAATTGAGAAATTTTTGAAAAGTCTACGAATTAATTTCCATGATTGTCTATAAAAGTATGGCACTTAGTCATTTTCGACCCAGAACAAAGGTTACTATATTATAATACCTGATTCTCTTTTTGACTGAAATTACTTTATTTACCTTGTGCAAGGTTGCTGTGTATTTTGTTGCCGGGGGGAGCATCAGGGGGGTGTGGGCAAACCGTTTAGCGACGGGATACCTCAAAGTATTTAATTTTGACAATTTCAATGTTAAGTAAGTTATGACATAAAGTTTGCCTTCGAGTTCCTTGAAATATATTTGAAGTTTACATATACATCTAACCGTATCAATTTATTTATAATATCGTTGCTGCTACAGCTAAATTATATCCAAAATTTCATTGCATTTAGGCGGTTGAAGTTTGTGTGGTAATAATAATCTGCATAACAAGACATGCAATTTTTCTATGAATATATCTTATTATGGAAAGTGTAATACTGCCCATTTGTTGATGTCAACTGTAACAGCAGTGACGTACAGAGACCATATACAGCGACCCAAAGG